AATTTTTTTTTTTTGGGGGGGGGGGGCCCAAATTGGTCTCCACAGAAAGACACATACATAAAAACTCGAATTTTTCTGCAATACCCGATTAGAACTGCGTTCTCTCGAACGCAATGAGTTGGCTTACCTAAGGCTTAGAGATGGCCTTACAAGATGTGATTATTGCTAGAGCCAGACCAAATAATGTATATTAAATATCCAACAAGTTTGTCCAGCTTTTAATGAGAGAGAATCCAACTACTGCTAGCTTTTCTCTGGCAATGTTGAGTGAATTATTAAATCGTTAAAAACGATTGAGAACCTATAAGGTCACACAATGTAGGAAATCCTCAGTGAGGTCAAATTCAATTATACTTTTATGTTATAATTTAGCAAATTATACACCAGACCATGTGCCTTCTATGTTACACCCTGTGCCAGAAAATAGAACGTGAAGCCATATAATGCACAATTTCAGTATGGTGAAAATCGCCAATTATTTAATTACCACTGATGAACAATATCATGTACTCTAAATACATTCACTACCAAATGACAAATTAAACCTTAGCTGTCAGGAATTATTAGATATTTTTGTACTCTATTCTGCACCTTATGTTTTCAAATTCACCCTAAAACCTTCAGGTAAATACTGCTTAAGGTGGCTTACTACAGTTTTGATGGATTATAAGAGCCCAACTTCTAACTCTTTTCAAAAAGGTTCCAAGATGTTTTCCTTTCTCTATTTACTGTTTGCTTAAGTATTTTGCCATTCTTTGTGAAACTTGAACAGTTTAAACGTCAACAAATGGCCAAAATGAACGACCGAGTACCTAAGGAGAGACTGGGTATTAGTAGATTAAATCACGTTTTTCTCAAAATCTACCCGGATGACCCCACCTCAAAATTTCAGGAGTAAGAAATTGGCTCTGATTTGACATTCATGCAAAGTAAAATAAAAATCTGTACGACAGATTTTTCGCAAACTAAGAAATTGTGAAATCAAAAATAGCTCACAATCTGTCTTACAGATTTTTTTTTTTTCGGTTTCTGCTTCGATTAATAGAGTTTGCACAACAATTGTGTCCAACCTTTTTCTTTTTCATTAACATTTGCTCCAGACAAGTAGCTCTAACCCACATACACTCGAATTTCTTCCTTCTCCCCCGACATTTCGTCCGCCATTTTGATAGCTCGAGGGCTATTAAGCCAAGCTTGCATGAATTACGTTTCAAAAATGAAAAACAAAATCGGGGGTTACGGACCTCGTTTCAGAGATATAGCGTGTGGAAAACTAGTCTGATTTTGAAAAATTGGGGCGCATAAATCAGCATGGTCTACAGGGTTTTTAGCTTAAAATATAAAAAATTA